TACTACTACTACTACTACTACTACTACTGCTACTACTACTACTATTACTAGTACAGCTACTATGTCAACTACTACTAAAACTACTACTACTGCTACTACTACTACTACTACTACTACTACTACTACCTATACTACCTACTACTACTACTACTACTACGACGACGACGACGACGACGACGACCCCGACGACGATGGCTGCGACTATGTCAACGGCTGCGACTACGACTCCTACTGCGGCTACGACTACGAGTACGCTTACGATTACAACTAGTAGTCATATATCCCTCTATTAGAAAGCAGTCTAAACGTACTAGCAACAAGGATCAACAGTACAGCTAGTACTGCTCTTTATTTTCATATCAATATGTGTAGTTGCTATTTCGTATCTGCTGGTGCATGAACAATATTCATGGGTCGAGTGAACAACTGCTACTTCAAGACTACGAGATAGTGAGTAGTAAAATTGCGCTAGCTGTGTATGGAGAGTATAAATGAGTATAGCATGCGACAGAAGATCAGCGCCCAGTGTGTGATGCAGTCATGTACTTGCTCTGGTGTGCGATATCTGATTTGCCATACCATACTCGACTTAAATGCATGCCATAAGGATACAGACCCGAAGCGGCCACCATGCATCATGTGTGTCTTGAGCCTGCCCAGAGAACCTTACCTTAAGTTATAGGGTCCTTAATATTATGATTTAAGGTATATTCCTTAATTAAGGGGTATTGGGGGTCCTGAATATTATGATTTAAGGTATATTCCTTAATTAAGGGGTATTGGGTTCTCTGGGTGGAGGAGGGGAGCAACATCCTCCACCTGGCGGCCTTGGGTGGCTTGGACCGAGCCTGTGATTTGCTGCTGCAGCGCGGTGTAAGGCCGCAGCCCGCCGGGCTCCCGCGAGCCGCGGGCACGCAGTTCCTGGGTCCTTAAGTGAAGGAGCTTATCTTTAAGTTGCCATAGCAGGGATCTACTGTAAATAATAGGGTTTCCTTACTTTGGTAACTTAACCCTAAACCCTAAACCCAGGTTCGCCCAGGAGCAGGTGCGCGCCGTGCTCGAACCGCAGCGCTGGACGCTGCTGCGGCGGCTTTGGCCCGAGGGCGCCACGAAGTCTTTGCCCGTCCATGAGGCGTTCAAGCAGGTGCGGTTTAGGGTTTAGGGTTTAGGGTTTAGGGACTATCATAGGGACTATCATAGGGATCCATTCCCCCATTCCCTACTAAGCACCAGACAGTCAAGCAGGTGCTCGACGAATGCGGCTCAGATCCCAAAGTGGTGGCCGTCTGCGCCGGAGTGGGCGCCCTTCGGCCGACCTCGCTTGCAGCGTTGATGGACGATGCCGAGGCAGTCAAGCTCCTTGCTGCCACGGACGTATCGGAGGACCCCCTGCCAGGTGCGAGTCCCTCGGCCCTGATGTGGGCCCAGTGGTCGAGTTCGCAGCAAGCCGCCAGGGTCATGCTTGATGCCGGCGTAACTCTGAGCAATGCAGACCTGGAGGGACTTCGGCGCTTGGGACGGGCCCGACGCCAGTCGCAGGATAGCAAGACCGGCAGCGATGCACCCTCTGCAGCTGCACGCCTTCTCGATCCCAGCGACTGGAGCCTCCTCCCCCAGGCAGTGCAGCACTTCGCCAGTGCCACTCCCCTATCCCGACTGCAAGACCTACGAGAGAAGATGCTGTTCGGCATCAGCGAGGTGGGGGTTTCCGAAAATTAGGGTACCTTATTTTGGGGTCCTTATAATAAGGATCCTATTATTTAGGGTACTATATTAGGGTCCCCTATTTTCGGAAACTCCCAGGTGAGGCCAGCAGATGCACCGGCAGCCGGAGGTCTCCTGCCTCTACCGATGCAGCTGGGCTTTGGAGTACCATACTTTAATACTTTTTTTGGGACCTGTTCCTTAAAGGAACCATTATAAAATAAAACTCTATACTTTTTTCTCCCTGTTTACTTCAAAGCCCAGGCAGCCTCCAGCCTTAACGCGCGTCACCTCGATCTCAGCCGAGCAGGAGGAGGCCGCAGCGAAGGAGGAAGTTGCTGCCTCTGCATTGTTGGACTTGCTGGGCCCCGCCAAAGCCACTGGGTCTCCCAGTGGGCCCTTTTTCCCTTTTTGAGGTCTCAGGTTCCTGAAAAAGCTACTCAAAACCCAAAACAGGGGAGCCCTTTTTTAATCCCAGGGTTACGGTTTAGGGTTTAGGGTTTAGGGTTTAGGGTTTAGGGTTTAGGGTTTAGGGTTTAGGGTGTAAATCTTAGGCCAGCATCATCCGCTTCCTGGTGCAGAGAGAGATCGCACAAGGCGAGGGCAGGTGGGGGTTTCCGAAATCAGGGGACCCGGATATAGTACTCTAATTAATAGGATCCCCCTAATCCCTAAACCCTAAACCCTAAACCCTAAACCCTAAACCCTAAACCCTAAACCCTAAACCCCTAGATAAGATACCCTAATTTTCGGAATATCTCAGGTCGGGTCTGTCGGCCATCCACCTCCTGGCGCTGCACGCCGCCGCGACCTTCGTGGACGTCCATGCGCAGTGCCAGCTCTACATGCCCCTGCTGAAGCTAGGTTCCGAAGTAGGTTTAGGGTTTAGGGTTTAGGGTCCGAAGTAGCACCCTTTTGTGTATTCTGGGGTCTTCTTTTCCAGCTTGAGAAGCAGACCCTTAATATTTTCACGGGATTACCCCAAGCCCTAAACCCTCAAAAACAAGCCGTGAAATCCTGAAGCCCTAAACACTGCACAACCCCGAACCCTTCACCCAAAATTCAATTCTAAACCATCCAGTACTTAAGCCGCAAAGCCCTAAACCCTAAACCCTAAACCCAACTGTTCTGGGAACCGAGGAAATCCGCCCTCGGCGCGCTGCCCAGTGCCCGGGGCCCCTGCTACCGCGCCGTCATGCGGGGCTCCAGCAAGGAGGCTCCGTCCCTGCGGCAGTTCTCCCTGGGATGCCCAGCCTGATTTAAGGGTGTAGGGCTTGAGAGTTTGGGATCTTACGGTTATTTATAGGGTTTAGGGTTTAGGATTGCAAGGTTTATAGGGTTTAGGGTTTAGGATTGTAAGGTTTATAGGGTTTAGGGTTTAGGAGTAAGAATTCCCGCAATGTACTTTGGCAATGTGCAATAGGTGAGGGTCAAGTCTACTACGCTGTACGGAACATCCCACAGTGAAGGGGTGTTGTTTACAGATCCGCTATCCAGCCCAGAGCCCGAAGCCCTAAACAATATCCGTAGGCCCTGAACTCTGAACCCTACATGAATGGCTCCTGTTTAAGGAGGTGCGCTGACAAAAATGACTCAGTGTTCTGAGGGGTTTCCAGACTTGAGTCCCTAACCCCACACCCTCAACCCTAAACCTTAAAACCTCAACCGGAAACCCTAAGCCCTAAACCCTTATCCCTAAAACCCGAAACCCTAAACCTTAAACCCTCAAATACTACCTGCTTGGCCCTCAGGGCGAACCCCATGATATCCTACACGGAACCCTATTAGAGAACAGGGGACCCTATTATAGAACCCTATAGTACCCTTTACAGGAGAGCCCATTACAGAACCCTACAGTGGACCCTATACTAGAAAACCATAATACCCTTTAAATAAAGCGGACCCTACCATAGAACCCTACAGTGCCTTTTAGAGGGGACCCTATTATAAAACCCCATAGTACCCGTCAACATAAATTCCAAGGGGACTCTTTAAAGAACTTCATCGTGCCCTTTAAGGATAAACCCCAAACCCTCAACCCTAAACCCTAACCCTAAACCCTAACCCTAAACCCTAAACTGGAGCGAGCCGCGGACACCGCATTTGCCGGCGGCGAGCGATACCG